AATCAAGTCAATTAAAGTATGTGCTTCATGGGCCACGAAAGGTGAATATTTAACAGCCACATAGCCAAGTGGAAGCGAGCAAAATTACATTAGAATTTTAAAAACCAAAGAGAAAATTTAGGGTATGAGTTTAGTTCAGAAGCGGTGCGTTCCGGGTTACCAAGAAATCCGGCATATAATGCACCATAGAAGGCCGCTAAGAGATTGTGGGAGCAAATATGCAGTTAGAGCGAGATCAGGTGGAAGAGGACACACTTAATAAGACCTGCGTGTAACGGTTACGACTTGTGAATAACGAAGGACATGTATGTTGGGAAACGATGAAGTGAGAGAGAATTTCATGAGAAACCCCACTGCTTCTAAATAAATGCGCTAAGGATCTGGAAATGAAGTCCTCCTTGAGCATCCTTGGGAAGATTCCAGAGGACCCGTACAGCCAAAGGGATCAAATGCAAGCAAAAAGGAAACGGCGGGTCAAGAAGCGAGGGATGCATAAAGCTTTCAGGTGTGGGACATAAAACGATAGTATTCTGACCTTTCCAAATACAGAAATAACTTGGTCAGGCCAGCATAAACTTCGGCTGATCAACACATCGAGATACCCAACATTCACTGATTGGATAACGATCACAGCATTTATTTTAGTCGTGCGACAGTATTCTAAGAGATTTGCATAAAGGGGCCCTCTGAGATGTGAGAACACCATGTCTACGTATTTAGAGGGATTGAGAGTTAATTTATGTGCAGTGGACCACTCAGCAAGGTTATAAAGGTTAAGCTGAAGGATGACATGCGTCAGGATGGGAGATTCCGACCGCAACATCGTCCGCGTATTGAATAAGCAGGGCATTTCGAAAATTAGACATGGATGAAACAAGAATCGAAAAGAAAGACAAAGAAAGGACAAAATGACGCCTCACAGTACACCTAGTGTATAAATCAAGGTAGAGCAGAACATGGTCTGTAGGCCAGGTCCAATTCATTGGAACGCACAAAACAATGATGTGGAAAGATTTTGGAGAAGACCTCCGCAGAAATACTGTCGTACATACATGCACGTTTGTAATGCAGCATAGATGAGTGCAACAAACGAACTAGCTAATTCAGTTACAGTTAGTACGTTGTGATTTCCTAAATAATGATGCGTTTTTCCAGATAGTATCCAAGAGCTCACGGACTGTATAAAATAAAATTTGAGGTATCATCATACTTCGTTTATGGGACAGGTCAAGTTCTACCACCGAAAGACTACCCGTTTCAAGCCAGTATGATAGTCAGAATTCAAAAGGATATGGGGAAATGTATGCGTAGAATAGCGAATATGGCACAAATTCTAAGAGAAACTCACCGTCCGTAGCGCTGTCCCAATAGCACGAGCTCGCCGTGTGCAATCCCGCGCCGCTTTTCTGCATTATAACACACGTAACTGAAGGCGCAAAATAGAACTAAAGTATCCTTCCTTACCGACATATTTGAACGGTTTGCCCAATTTAGTTAGATGATTTAGACACTGTTCAATGACAGATGATGTCCATTGTTGAACTTTTGTGTGACTGTAGGTGGACGTACCCACAGTACTTTCAATACTCTGAAAGTTTGACAACTTAGAAACCACAAAGTCCAAATTTTGTACTCACATCTTTGACGATGTTTTTCACCTCGTCCGTGACAAAAGCAGTCTAAAGATGAGGCATGCAATCAAAAACTCACTTCCTCGCCCGTTTGAAAATCATCCATAACGGACTACAAATTGAAGCCAGAAAGAACTAAAACCACACAAATCAGTGCGAGAGATCCTCGGCAAATCTAAAAGAAAAACAAATATTACAACTTGAGAACTGATGAACAGACATTTATTACCAGATGCATTCAATTCTGTAGATTAGCGGATAGGTAATTTATTTCTCCCGGAACGTACGCAGCACACTGAAAGACACATGACTACACCGTGTAAAAGTTACTCTCAGTAACGAATTAAGATTAATTCCCATGAGTCTGTTCCAGATGGGGTTGCTCGTTAGCGAATTTAATTGACGTTATAATTATGGGATACCAAACTCTCAAAATGGCCACTTGATTTTAGTTATTACACTGGTTTTTTTCTTTTATACTACAAGTCATCATAATTCCAAGGTGTACTTCTGGTTGAATTTGATACAAAATGTATGGTTTCAGTTTCAGTTTTTACAACCATTAACCAAGAATTTTCATGCGCCAGTTGTGGTTGCTGTCTTTCGGCTACCCATTTGGATTAATGAGTAGAATGAAGAACGGAATGTTGAGAGTAGGGTCAAGGAGAAGGCTGAAAGCTTGTATATAACTCACTAAAGCTTGAATACGATACAACAGACTGGGGTTGCAAGAATAATGAGTAGATGCACGAGCGCTGCTGTTTGTAATACTCAATCATATCAAAAAAATAATGAAAGACTAATGAAAAGAAGTGTCTGATGAGATCTGTCAAATCGCCGGATATTTTCTACTCACAAGTTCGAGGTCTCACAACCATAAAGCAGAACTGAACGAAAGACGTCACAATATACACGGCCGTTCCACTTCAATGAAACCTCACGTCTACGCCAAAGGTGTTTCGGTCCTCCGTACGTTGCTGAGTCAGACAAGCAAAGTTGTGCTAGCCAAGTTTGCTGGTTTTGTCAGCGACCAGTGAGTCGGTATGAATTGCATCAAACTACTATGATTGGCCGCTTCCTGAAAATCACACCTTTGTATATTCTATAAAAGTACAAATGAAAAATAAATCAAAAAGAAAAAATTCGGCCAATACCAACTGAAACTTCTGTATGTGTGTCGACAGGTCATCTGTGATGCGTTCGCCGAGTGAGATACAGTTGCCCAAAGAGCGAAATTTACCTAATTCCTCTACTACTGCCCCGGTTAGAGTGAGGTTGGGAGCTGAGTTAACCCAATCTTGTAGCAACATTTTACACTCAAGGTACAAAATGCATAGCAACTCTCCTAAGTGAACTGCCAGTGATTCACGGACACAGTTATAGTCCTGGATGTTAGTTTTTTGTCTCCTCACTTAGATGAGAAAACAGTGTAGAGGGAGGACGGTGAGTGGGGCTCCCTTAGCTGAAACTGTTTGAGATAACTGATCATACAGGAGCATTTCGCGAGGTACAAAGAATGGTAAGACACCACCCAAGACACCCAAGCCTGATCATAGCGAAGCTCTTGAAAGTACCGGGTAGTTAGCCTTCACAGGCTGTGGTGATTGGGGAAAGGTATACGCATTTATTTTGATAGAACTGTTTTGCCGGACTTAAAAAGGCAATATAAATGAGATGAAAATGTTTGTGAAGAGCACTGAACGGCTGTTTTTTGTTTGGGACTTGTCAGCAATGTGGACTGCGCAGTACGGACGCGAGGTAAGGGCCTAAAGTCCCAACCCCAAGGTT